CCCTCACCTCCCACACGTATTTCCCGTGACTTATCAAATTTAATGGTCGGCCCATCTCTCAGCGTCACAGAACAAGGTTCTGCAAAAATGTCTCTACATTCAATGCACGTTTAATGATCATATTCCACTTTAGCGTTCACGCCGAAGACGTCACTTGTGCCAAGAAAAAGCAATAGGTGAAAGGTTACAGCTTTGGTTTTGCGCTCCGTCTGGCGGCTGTTTGTGGTAACGACGAAAAGGAACCGAGCGTATTTGCGTTACTTAGACGTAAACGTAAATTGTTGGATTAATTTCAATAAATATAAATCCAAGGAAATATATTTATTTGGTGGGGAGGGGTTCAAATTTAATGTTTTTTTGTGGGTGTACTGAAATTTAGATAATTATTCCTCGCGTAAGTGTAAGATATGGCTTCCAGGACGAAGTGACTCGCCATTTCTCCGCGTTCGAATAGACAGAAATGTTCTTAGAAAATTTCGTGTCCGAAAAGAGGAAAATATGGGCGGTTGTGAGGCCGAAACAGATCTTCAGGCTGACTTTAACTGCATGGATGTATAAATGAATGAATGAATAAGTGGTTGAATGGACTTGTAAATGAATTAATTGTAGCTTGTGTCTTTACGAAAATAAACTAAGTTCCAATATATATTAAATCTTGTCCGTCTAATCACAATAAATTCTTATTAAATATTAAACTATTACAATAATTAACACTTTAAAATATTTAAAATATTAAATGATGTTCTTTATCGAAATATTCGATTTACATTAGACCATCATTTTTCATGTTTCACGACATGTTTCAGTTTCTAAAAGAACCATCCTCAGGTGTATATAATTATATAAAGATTCAAAACAATAAATAATTCAAATACAATTTTCATACATTATGCCAATGATGGTCTAATGTAAATCGAATATTTAAATATTTTAAAATGTTAATTATTGTAATATTTTAATATTTAATAAGAATTTATTGTGATTAGACGGACAAGATTTAATATATACTTATTATATCACAATATCTTAAGTTCCACTACTTGTCTCGTTAGTTACTGTGAGTCATGAACCAAGTCTCCTTTGTTGTCACAACATATTTACGAGACTGTACAGCAGAAGAAGTGAAATGACAGAGAACTGAACTGGCAGGAATTGGAGTGCAGTCTTCCTGAAGATAAAAATGAAAGGAAATGTTACAATGCCACATGAACAAACGTGTTTTTCTTTCGGATTTGTTCGCATCAGGTTCATGACAATGTTTGATTCATTGCAGAAACACTGTTAGGCATATTTCGTTGTCTGTAGTGTATTGTATACACGACGTTTCGGGAGTTCACTCTACTCCAATCTGACACTTTTTTCTTTATGTGTTCTTAGTCACAACGATCGGCATCGAAACTAGGACCTCTCGAGATAGCACAGCCTTCTGCATTTACGTACATTTCTACTTCACATTCGTTGGTAAACAAACTGTATGGATGATACAGACTCATGTAACATATGACAGATGATTTTAAGTATACAACAGATCACAGCAAATCAAACACATTGACGTTCTGTCTCTCGCTATTACAATAAAGTAATTTAAACAACTTTAAATTCGCATTTGTATACGCTCGTGTTCAGACAAATTAAACAAAATTCAAACTAATATGCAAACGCATTCTGTAGCCGCCATAAGATATAACTTAGACCTTGCAAGGCCTACACAACATACGTAACACGGAAGAGAACGGAATATTTTCTGATGCTTGTATTCATATTTCACGGCGGGGTTGTTAAAATCCTCTTGACAGTAGGTATGACGTCAGAATTCAGAAATAAACGAATGAAAGACGATAATTTAAATCTTTCCTTCACTTACGTCACATATCTATTATGGCGACATTTTACGTCTTACGTATGAACCTAATACACCATGTTGAATTACTGTAAACATGACAAAAAGGAACCGAAGTTTTGTATGTCCAACGAAATTCTTCAAGGCTTCGGACGTGCAATATTTCTTTTTATTATTTAGTGTTCTGTCTGCCGACAGGTCCATATGAACAGGATCCTTCCATCCTTTTCTCGGACTGGGACCTGTTCATATACGTTCTTGGCAGATGATCCAGAAGTGGTTTGCCATTGCCTTCTTCTGTGTGTGAATGGAGTAATTGTTGGGAAGCCCCCGGAGGAAAACTCCGTGTTGCCTAGACCACGGCCTTGCCCAACACAAGTTATAAATTCGGGCACCGCACATTTTAACGATGTTCGTAAGGGAATGTCGTATAGATGATATTTCTCTCTGTATCATTGCGAGAAAGCGAAAATAAGTGGACTCTGCTTTTGGCTGTTTCAATAAAACAAGACACTCATAAATATCTCCTACAGATGCACAGATTTATATTTTAAGTTTGTCAGTTTACTTTAATGACGCACACGAAAAATTGAACAATTATCAACTGTTAATACCATCAATAATATAAAAATTCACGGTAAATGTTTCGACTACTTTTTGCTATCTTCATGAGATTCACACTGTTAAAATTATTAAACGCTTCACATATAATTTTTATTACAGATCGTTTATATTTTTGAACTACATATTTTACAGTAAATCTATTAATATTTCAAGCATATATGTATCTCTACATGCTTTATCGTGTGTCTGTTCATTACGAATGTAAATATATTATTCTGATTATATGTTGAAATTTGCCATTTCTGCGTAGAAATTTTCGAAGCTTCTGTAATTCACCTTAAAACTTTGCCTGTAGTATTATCATCAAATATACTTAAAACTGCCATGTATTTCAGCTGTGGGAGCAATACTGCTCCACGAACATCGGACGGCCCACACAATTATGAACAGAAGTCTTTAAAATATACATAACCATGTCCGAATTCCGGCTGCATGTATAAGTTGATGGCAAAGTTACCAAAACGCGGTTGCATAAGCTAAATTGTGCCCAGTATTGCCTCTGTGAGGCGTGAATCATCCCTCTGCTGTTGGAATTTTCGGTTTTGTTAACTCGAAAATTAGGTTTCCTGTTTCATGTCTCACATGGATTATTGATATAGCCATTAGTTTAGTATATTCCTATGTTATTCGGAACTGATCTGACAGCTACAGGAAAGAATAATATAAATATAAGAGTGTTAATCGTGAACTGTATAGGAGATTCCTGTATTCATTTCATCCAGATTATAATTTACGTTTCAATCATAAGACGTAGACACTGATTCACTTATCATAATTAATTATTTGTTTTAATCCGTCTGATCACAATATAATTTTTATTTAAAATTTCTTATAATTAAGATAATAAAATATCATTCATGTTCCATATCGATTGATCGATTTACATTTCGGAATATTTACACAACATGTTTCGGTTTTTATAAAACCATCATCAGGTGTAAAATATATCTAAGAACTTTAAAACTCAATTATTGATTTCTGTAGTTTTTTGATGTTTCATTTCGATTGTTTTTTTCCATTTTTGGGCGGAGGTGTTGTTTTTCTTAAATGTTATTAGATGTACATATCGGCCTGTAAGTAAATGATTCAAAGAAACACTAATGAATTTTGAAAGAATTTAGAAAATAAAATGCAAAATATATAAATTATAGTTAGAAAGTAACAATAAAAATAGAAATTTTAAATAAAAATTATATTGTGATCAGACGGATTAAAACAAATAATTGATATAATATTCACAATATGACGCAATTACACTATCTTATCATAATTAGTTATAATAGTACCACAAACAAAATATTTACATAATAATAGGCTCGTTACTCAAACTGAGTTCTGGTAATATCGTCTTCTGGTATTCGTAAAAAAAAAAATTCTGTGCGTCATTACGTGAGGAATTTGTTTCGGCCAATACTGTTTGACATTGTCCTGTCAGCTGCAATATTAAATGTTCTCATCTACACTCTCTTCAGTTTCGATAATAATGGCTGTTACCTCTTTTACAGGACATCGATTACGAGGGTTTTCACCAGTTCATGGATACTTTCTTGGAGGTCGAGACCCCCGAAGAACTATGTCGTCATATGTTTCTTTCTTTCGTAAAGCGCCATGAAACCAGGCCGCAAACAATCGATGGGAAGGCTATGAAGGTAAGACTCGACTTCAGTCGATATTGTTCTTTACGCGAGATGAAACGATTTAACGTAGCCATTTTTATCGCGCCTTTGAATGCCTTTGAAATGATCAGAAGGAAACTTATGGATAATTTTAAAATAAAATACATACCAGTATATATGATAAAGGCGATATTAAATATATCACTATAGCCTTCCTTCAAAAACAGGACAGATCAACAACACAGTACATCATTTACGACTACAAATTTACTTGAAGTTTCAAATATTATTCCCAAACCCATTATTTAAATATCAATAATTACGATAATTAATAACAATAATCAAATTATTTATTTTAACATGCAAACTCAGCAGCTACAGAAGTAAATTACAGCTACAGCACAAAAAAGATAAAATAAATACAAAGGATAGAAAACAAGAAACAATTGAAAAGGAGAATAAATGTAGTATATATAATCGATCTAAGCACTTACTTGTCGAAAACGTGTCCTCAAAGGAGACAATGCTTTTCAAAAAATATTTCTTTTAAAAAATCTGTATATGTCATTTGCAGTAATGTTTTGATTCAATTTTCACGATAATAAATCAATTTGATCCATTTATTTAAGTTCTTGGCAGATGGAAAACCAATGGAAATGCAAGTATTAAGTTGAAAAACAATAAAATACAATTAAAACAACGAGGATGGGGGAGTAGCATGAATTCTGTACGGTTTATCCCAGTCCCTGTTTTTGGTCTTTGTCTCTGTGTTACATCTGATGTCACTTACGTGGATTGGATTAGCAAATAAGGCTACGTTCTAAGCTGTGACCTTGCACCTAAGTGTTGTTGTTTGCCTCCAGGAGATGGCAGTTCTCAGTTCGGCCACAGCGTGTGCCCCGATTACGTCACACACGACTACACCGGGCTCAGTTCCCAACATCGCCACCTGCGTCATCGACCAGGCGACCGTCAACACTGGCTCTGCTACGGGTCATCAAACACCGGCCCATGACAAACCATCTAACAAACTGGCCGAGAAGTTGCATGGGCTCACAGAGAAACTGCATTCTCTAGGACACCACCGTTCAGATTCAGACACCTCCACCCGCGCTAGGACAGGTATGACAAAGAATCAGTTGTGTGAGAATTCTAGCTTAGAAGCTGACAGTCGCTCAAGTGGTCATACATCAAGAAGATAATATATAAAATCACAGTTTTATACAGTCCATCTTAGGTTGGTCCGTTGTCACCATGGCATGGCACGTTCTCAGGTTGGGGTGAAGTTTTATGCAGTGCATTCACTGATAAAGTTGAACACAAGAATAAAACAAAATTTGCCTGCATTTTCAGGCAGTTTAGGTGCATCCGTTCACCCAATGCTGACTGTGACACAGACGTCGTACTCATGTCACGAGGTGTTAGAGAAGAAGAGCACAGATTCCTCTCCGAGTCACAGCCAGGTGTCAAGGAACTCCTCACGAAAATCAAACAACTCTCTTCTGGTCACCAATGGCAAGCTCGAAGGTAAGTTCTGTGCAGGAACTATGCAAGACTTAACAACGTAATGTGCTCCATCTGTAACAGAGTGCACTAGTTCAAAACTGTGTCTGCCTGTGTGCTTGTCATGTCATTACTTTATTAAACACAATGGAAAATTTAGCAAATCTGTGTCTCTTTCATAATTACAAATTGCATATCAATTCCTTGATAACATAAAAGATACATGGAAAATAAAATGACAAAGTTTTCATAATAGAATTCTAATATTGGGTTTAGTCTTAATTCAATACAAGCTTTAAAGCGGGCCTTGTGCCGCTTGGTCGCTGGGACCGTGGGTTCGAATCCCATTCAAGCCAAGGATGTTTGTCCACGTATTTCTGTGTTGTGCTGTCCTGTGTACAGGTAGAGGCTTTGCGAAGGGCCGATCCCTCGTCCAATGTTTCCTACCAAATGTCCATAGATCGAGCCAACGTAAAGTTGGGACCCGCAGTGCTCGGGCACTTGAAGAACGGGTCGTTCCCAGTCTCCCAGTATTGATTCTCATGCAGTAACTTACAGCATCGCATAAGAAATCCTTCTAAAAAATGTTATATGTTAATAAATCAGATGAAACCAGCATCAGCGTATCACAGTTTCTGACTTCCAGTGAACAGTATTTACGTTTTATGTGGAGAAAACATTATCATACATGACACTATAAGCTTGTAGTATGTATATGTAAGAAGTAATTAAGCTATTGGTTATTTTTACAGATATTCGGTATCTAGTGAGGAAGTCGAGTAGTGTTGATGTCCATTCTGTAAGGGTGTCTCTAAAGGACATTGTGTGCTACCTGTCTCTTATTGAGGGTGGGCGACCAGAAGACAAACTGGAGTGTAAGTTTAAGCACAGGTTAATGGTACAAATGTTTACTAAAGTTTAATTTACAGAAGTATGGCATAACAACATGTAATTAATGTTATTTTATTTAGTAAATTCATAATTATCTGCATTTTATACAACATCATTAACAGTAAAAATACTTGCAGCAATTTGTGGATTAGAAAGACTGATAACAGTTGGTACAACTTCTAGTCTTGCGGCAGTTTCCTACAACAGGCTACCTGAAGTGGAAAAGTGCAGTTGGGTTAATTAACACAATTAACTCATTTCATTTATTTCTCTCTTGTTTCAGTCATGTTTCGGCTGTATGATACAGATGGAAATGGAGTACTGGACACAAATGTAAGATTTTATAAATTCGACAAATTGCTAAGAAAATGCTTTTATTGTGTTGTAAAATTTGGTTTGAAATCTGTTGGATATTTCTTTTTTTTTCTGATTCCATTAAAGGAAAACTGGAGTGGAATGTCACATGTAACCTTGTCACCGCAAAACTAATTACAGTGAAACCACATTTCTAGGTTTCTTGATCTAAGGCTTTCCTGCATTTTACATTTATTTTGTTGTGATCCCAGACTTAAATTCCAGGGTTATTACCTCAACAATACGCCATTGCAATAAATGGTCAGCTGTATTGTACATAAGCCACAATATGTGGTTGATTAAAGTTTCCTTTTAAGGTTTAAAATTTAAAATATTTGTAGTTAGAATACTATATTATTGATGAAGGCAGTTTCTTGCACAACAAAGGTCATAATTATACAATGAACAAAGTCAAGAGAGTACACTAGCCCTGAGCCACCTCAGTTGAATTCATATCAGCACAGTTCATTTCCCAAAGATTCCATCCTAATCTTCTTCTTCTATGGCTCTCTGGTCCGTATTCAGTCCATGGCCTCCTCAATTCTCCTCTTCCATTTGGTCCTCTGTTAGTTCCGTCCGTCCGAGGCTTTGATTGAGGTTTCGAAACGTCTTCCTTTTCATGGTGCAAGGTTGTTAGCCTAATGTTGCGACCCTAATATTTTCCTAAAATCTCCTTCACGTGTCAAGTGTGCCTTCCAAGAGGATTTTTGTTCAAAATTCTGATATGTTTCACCCATCTGAGACATATGTACAGCCTATTGTAACTTCTTTGATTTAACTGCACTAACAATACCAGGTAACCTGTATAAATTAAAAATGTCCTTATTATATAAGATTCCCCATTTTCAACTTACATCAACATTCTTGAGTACAAAAAGACTTAACTTTCATTTGGAGAATTATAACACTTCATTGTTCTACAAATGAATATCTTGTGGTAATTATTAAATATACTCACAAAACCTTCTTGAGATAAAAATTTAAATGAGTGAAATATGAGGTAACCCCATATGCATGGAATTCCCAGTAATCTATATTTAAAATACTGTGTACATGAAGTATCAAAAGATGTTTTTTCACATTCAGTTTCTCTTCAGGAAATGGACTGCATTGTTAATCAGATGATGAATGTGGCTGAATACCTTGGATGGGACGTCACAGAACTTAAACCTGTAAGTTAAATCACTTGGCTGTTAATATTGTACAAGTTACAACAGGCTAGGTTAGGTTATGTTAGGTTAGGTTAGGCTAGGTTAGGTTATGTTAGGTTATGTTAGGTTACGTTAGGCTAGGTCAGGTTATGTTAGGTTAGGTTATGTTAGGATAGGTTAGATTAGATTAGATTAGTAGCAGGCATGCATAAACTTCCACACCACAGTGTTAATACAGATATATTGTACATGTTAACAGATCCTTCAAGACATGATGGTAGAAATTGATTATGATGCAGATGGAACAGTGTCCCTGGAAGAATGGAAGCGTGGTGGTATGACAACTATTCCGTTGTTAGTGCTCTTAGGTCTGGATTCCGTAAGTATATGTTTTCTCTCCACACAATAAAATTTTAATAATGTGACAACACATCTGCCAAAAATATAATTAGACTGGAAAGGCTTCCAGAAATTGTATGAGCTTAATTAAAAAGAAATAAGCATCGGAGGCTACGTCTATCCTAGACTCAGCAATAATGTGAATAACTGATTGTTATCTACTTGTTGCAGAACGTTAAAGAAGACGGTAATCACTTGTGGAGACTAAAGCACTTTAGTAAACCGGCTTACTGTAACCTCTGCCTCAATATGCTGGTTGGACTCGGCAAGAAGGGCCTCTGCTGTGTCTGTGAGTGTCTTTCAGGTTTTCTGTTGAGGTTCTTCTATGGCTCTCCGGTCCGTATTCAGTCCATGGCCTCCTCGATTCTCCTCTTCCATTTGGTCCTCTGTTAGGTCCGTCTGTCCGAGATTTTGAAACATCTTCCTTTTTACGGTGCAAGGTTGTTAGCCTTGCGACCAACCCCCAACCTGGAGGACCAGGGTACCTGTCTTAGTCTGGCCTCTCCCCCTCCACCAATCTGGCTAGGGAGGCCCTACCAGTAGCTATGCTACCGCCAGCATACCTCTTGGAGTCTCTGAGTTACTCAAGCCCCACCACCACGACAAGGTGCAGATACCATTAAGTGGGATCAGTCCTGATTAACTGGATATAAATGTTTCTTTTTCTTATAGTCTCCTAGCATGGGTTGGGAAATGCTGATTCAGTACGCACATGCAGAGCACTTCACAATCCACTTGCTAGGTCCACGAAAGCATAGCTTTCACTTGAAAATCAACTATTTTCACTACCCATTCCCCAGTATTTATAGAACTTTTAATCCTTCAACACAGTGCTGCAATATTCAAGAAAATGCCACAATCTGCCCCATCCTTCTACGTTCTTTATTAGTACATAACGAGAATTTTTAAACAAGTAATGAAGCAGAAGAAAACATATTTTGGTACTGTTGTGTTTTCATTCACGAGTAATAGGTAAAATATAATATTGAAATATTTATTGGTAATAAAGATTTTAAGATTTTATGGTAATGGCGCATGTTTCTTTGGAGATCTGTGCTACCTTTTGCAGGTAGTGAGAAAATGCGTAAAAAAAGTGAGGAATTGATAGGTCGTTGTGATGTAAGGGGTGTTTAAAGGAATATTCAGCAAAGGGAAGATCACCATCAACATATGAGAAGATGTATGATTATGCAGGTTTCATCACATATGCCATCATGAAACTTATAAAATCTGAATAAATATTTTCAACAAACTTGTTCAGATCTCTGGCACTTTGGTTGAACATTTGTCAGTTTTATATAATGGTACATTAAATAAGGCTTATTAATTATGACTCTGTAACTTTAACTGAGGGCTCCGCAGTGGCCGCGCGGTCTGAGGCGTGGGCCTTGTGCCGCTTGGTCGCTGGAACCGTGGGTTTGAATTCCTACTCAAGCCATGGATGTCTGTCTGCGCTTTTCTGTGTTGTGCTGTCCTGTGTACAGGTAGAGGCCTTGCGACGGGCCGATTCCTCGTCCAAGGAGTCCTACCGAATGTCTATAGATCAAGCGAACGAAAAGTTGGGACCAGCAGTGCTCAGGCACTTGAAGAACAGTTCGTTCCCAGTATCCCCCAGTAACTATAACTGATGACAAATTGAGAGTTTGGATATCATGAGCCATTCTGACATGCATTCCAAGCCAATTAAATGTCCAATCATGATGTCAGTTTGTGTCTGACTGACGGTTTAGATGTAATTCAGGAGCCTACCTTGTGTTTCAGTTTGTAAATACACTGTGCACGAGCGCTGTGTGCAGAGAGCCCCAGCCTCTTGCATAGCAACGTACGTCAAGTCTAAGAAAACCTCTCAGCACATGTCACACCACTGGGTAGAAGGAAACTGCCATGGCAAATGCTCCAAGTGCAAGAAGACGATTAAGAGCTACAACGGCATCACAGGGTTGCACTGTCGGTGGTGTCAGTTCACTGTAAGTAGTCATGTCATCTTCCATTTCAAACAAACTTCAAAATCTCATAATATTATCAGAGTTAAGAATTTATTTTTATGTTCCATCTTATTTATATAACTCTAATTTATTTAAATGCTGTAACTGTTACCATCTATCATTTTATCTTCATTTAATTTGAAGATTTCTGTCTTCTGGGTTGTTGCGCTGTGTAGTCTGGTCGATGTTAACCAACGTTTCAGAGGTCATACTGCCTCCGTCATCAGGGCGATGAGTATGAAGATTTCTGTCTTCTGGGTTGTTGCGCTGTGTAGTATGGTAGATGTTTACCAATGTTTCGGAGGTCATACTGCCTCCGTCATCAGGGCGATTCATTATTATTTGCCAGAATGCATGACTTCTTTCTGAACAGCTTTTCCTTTACATAGTTTTATTAATTTTGTATCCTTTCAGTAGTTCCTCATATTTGTTTATCCCTGTAACTTAACATTTAATTCTGAAAATCTTTCTTTTCTTCTGTAGCAATTATGTGTGTCAAACAAGACTCTTTATTTAGAGGAACTTACTTTCAGCACTTGCAGCAAATGGTTGAAGTCAGAATCATATATTATCTTTACTGCTACAGTAAATGAATAAAACATTCAGGCAAGAAGTAAATAACAACACGCTTTTTAAAAGATTCTGTCGCTGACCATTTCATTGCAGCTGCACAACCGATGTGCATCTCAAGTGAAGCCAGAGTGTACACTCGGTGACCACAGAATGCACATCCTGCCACCTACCGCTATCTGTCCCATTGTTCTGGATCGACAACGCTCCATCACGAGAGAGAACAAACGCTGTGGTCTCCAGCGCTCAGAGAGTCAAACGCCCGCAGACTACAACAATTCTGTAAGGATAAACTACCTGTACTGCTGATGTAAAATTACAATTTAGAAACTTCAAACCTCTTTACAACTGATTCTTTGTTATTGATATTTTCAGGGCTCTCTTCAGTGTACACAGGAACAGCAGTGTCCAATGTCATTCCAGATAGCACCCCCACCTGGAACCAAGCCTCTTGTCGTGTTCATCAACCCAAAATCAGGTGGACGACAGGGAGGAAGAATGCTCCGCAAATTCCAGTACCTCCTCAACCCTAGACAAGTCTATAACTTGGCTAAGGGTGGACCAATGACAGGACTTACATTATTCAAGGATGTTCCAAACTTCAGGGTGATCTGTTGTGGAGGGGACGGTACTGTCGGATGGGTCTTAGAGACAATGGGTGTGTATCTCTGAATTATACAGTAAACAGAGCCCTCTGTAAGTGAAATTCTGAGGTAAAATGAACTGTGATTTTCTTTCTGGTTGTTGCAATGCTTGGAAATCAGTTCAAAGAGGTCATTGCTGCCTTCATCATCAGGGTGCCCAGATGATGGAGGCAGGCAATACCTCTGAAACATCAGTAAACTTCTACCACACTACACAGTGCTACAACCCAGAAGACGGCCATCTAAGGCAGAAATAATTAAAAATATGGTACAGACAAAGTTCTCTTATTTATGCATAAAGTAAGTTTGTTGCTGGAACTTAATAAGTTTTACATCATCTTACACTGCATATGTCTGAATTAATTTTGATCTCCTTTCTACGTAAAAACAGATCGGGTGCAGTTTGAAGAACAACCTGCAGTAGGCGTCATCCCTCTGGGAACGGGCAATGACCTAGCGAGATGTCTGCGGTGGGGAGGAGGCTACGAAGGAGAGGCATTACCAAAACTGCTCAAGGTAATCTTCATATGGAGTGATTAAGTCTTCAGATTCATGGTCATAAATATATTTAAAAACCTTTTTAAGGATGTTACATATATCAGTTATGTGCCCAGTGATTACTTTAAGGGTAGTTGTGCTTCGAGGTCTTGTAAACAATTTTAATGTGTTTTTGATGATTTGTTTTTTAAATAAAAAGTGCACACACATACATAAATTCCATGGATTCAACAGTCAGTCAGAATGACAGTGAGATGTTTAAAGATCTTTATGTTCATGTTCGTGTTTCAGAAAATTGAGAGAGCCAGTACTGTACTGATGGACCGGTGGCAGATAGATGTGTCAGACCAGCAGGATGATGGTGCACCCCCAGGTGACCCCATCCCTTACAATATCATCAACAATTACTTCTCAGTAGGAGTGGTGAGCACTTTCTGTTCAGCCATTCATCTCTTTCGTTGAATCTTTAATGACTTAAGTTTTGGCTCCTATACTACAGTACGTATAAAATAACTGGTTGGTTCTTCTCTAGCATTGTGGCCAGGGTTGCTTGAAAGGCCCTAACAATAACAGGGGTGTACAATGGATCCAGCAGTGGTCTGAGTGCCTGGAGTTGTCCCCCTCCCCCAGATCAGTACCCAAATGGAAGGTTTCTTTTATTATAATCGTTATTCTTATACAATATGTTTAAGAAGAGAGCATTAACTAATGTGTGGTTTAAAGAATTACTTTGGAACTTTTGTGTACTGCAAATAATACACCTTTCCAATCTTGTTACATTAAAATGAAGTGTGTCTTATATCTGTTAGAATATCAGTATCACAAAGCACATACTGCTACAGGAGCCGCGTTTCACAAAGGCAAGGATTACGTGTGCTAGTCCACAATTACAAGTTTCTTACAGTTTATTCCCTGGGTTAATATTCCAAAATAGCTTCTTCAGGCATATACTAGCTAATACAAATGGGTGGACTGGGCGAAATAAGTTTATGTTTAATGATACAAACAGCAAGCTGACATCTGACAAACCCCTGATCTAAAAGATTTTCAGTTGATGGACCCAGGATTACCTTGTGATTCACAAGAATGATCCTTTTGAGTTTCTTTACATCTGCATAAACCAGAATTGAGTAATATCTTGGTGTATTTCAGAAAAGCTTTTATTTGTTTGACCAGGATCACTTATTCTTATTGGTTTTTAAAACAAACATTTTCAGGACGCCGCGATATGTGTGAAGTTCCATCTTGAACGAGAGAAGAACCCAGAGAAGTTCAACAGCCGAATGAAGAACAAGCTCTGGTATTTTGAATTTGCAACTTCAGAACAGTTTGCAGCTTCCTGCAAAAACCTGCATGAAGACCTCGAAATACTGGTAACTTGCACTATATATCACTGTCATGGAAATATTTTTCAACTTATTTTATTTTATAAGATTTATACATGAAGGCCATTAATTGCTGTGGTACTGTCAGACCAGTCCCTCGCCGTAGCCGCGTGGTCTGGGACATCATGCTTCGGACCGGCGATACGGAATGCGCGCTGGTTCGAGTCTCAGGGGAGAAGAATTTTTCTCATGAGCTTTCGACCAGTGTATGGGACCAGTGCCAACCCAGCATCGTGATGAAATTGGGGAGCTACAATGAGTAGCGTAATCCGGTCGTGCAAACTACCAATGGCTGGGGGTTCGTCATGCTGACCACACGTCACCCTATGTCTGGTTGGATGATCGTTCACCTCTGCTTAGGCATGTGAATGTGAGGCCAGCAGCCATATAGTCGGCTTTGGCTCTCTGGAGCTGTTACGCCACAGATTTAATATTTAACTGTCAGACCAAATGGATAATGAATGCCTAGTAACCGTAGATGGAAATTCTGACTTAAATTGGGTAACATAACGACAATGGTGAAGGGTTACAGCTGTAGTATGGAAATACAAACAAAACATAAACATGGTGATATCATGCATCATCCTCCATTAGAAGGTAATTTCTGTGACAAGTATGGAAATGCCCTGAAACCAGGCATTTGGGCAAACAATCTAAATCCTAGGACAAAATGTATTAGTGGCATTGATACCACATGATAATAGGATACTGTTATCATTTTGGCTACAGTGTGATGGAGTATCCTTAGAGCTAGCCAATGGGCAGGCTCTGCAAGGCATTGCACTTCTCAACATCCCGTACACGCATGGCGGATCCAACCTGTGGGGAGAGAATCACGGGAAGAAACGGTCTGCAAGTACCACTTCTCGGATCCAAATCCGAAAGAAGGACAAAGAAAAGGAGTTGTCTACCAGCAGTTTCAACTCTGTGGACCTCAGTGGTGCTATCCAGGGTATGTAACAACTATCACACGCAGACCAGACACACAACAGCAAAGGAGTTCATATTTAAGTAAGAGAGAGTCACACTTAAAATGCAAAATAATCCAGCACTCTAATGCAACAAAGCCACAGAGCTATATCTTGGGTGCTGTGAAAATTGGTTTCAGGGATTTGTTTATGATATTCGCAGCAAGTTCCAATTATGAGAGTTATCCAGTGCATTTCTGTGAGATCTGCTATCTTACAATTGCATTTCGTAGACATTGGAGATCGTCTCATAGAGGTCATTGGGCTGGAGAACTGCCTGCACATGGGACAAGTAAGGACAGGCCTGAGAGCTTCGGGTCGTCGCCTGGCACAGTGCTCATCTATTGTAATAAAGACCAAGAAGAGATTCCCCATGCAAATTGATGGAGAACCGTGGATGCAGCCACCATGCACGGTATGATTAGCTTACCTTAAAGTAGATATTACCAAATCATCCTTTTCAGCTTCACCGACATCACGATCATTTTAATCATCAGGACTAACACCACTTTGCCATCACCATATTTATCAGTTTTAATATTAACTTTCTTGATACTTCCAACCACATTTTTACCCAATGTTTTCTAAAGCTGTAGACTTATTTGAGATTGTATCCTTATACTTTATTTTAATTTCTAGTGTTTTTATTCTTTAATAGTTCTTAAATCCTTCTATAGGCCTGGGCAGCGTTAACCCTGTTATATCCATTGCTTTCACTTCACCAAAACAGTTCACACATGATTACAAATGTTAAAGTTATGTTTGTACGACTACCTTAAATGTTTTTTCAGAGCTGAATGAATGTATTTTTTACCAATAGATTCATATTACCCACAAGAACCAAGTTCCAATGCTGATGTCACCACCACCAGAAAAAGGAAGAGGATTCTTTAGTTTCTTCAAAAAATGAACCAACGGCTGAGGCTTATGCAGCAATGTTCCCATAGTGCATAAACAGACGAATGAAAGGCATTACAGAACACAGCCATGATCATCACCACTTCAAATATTACGCTTCCAGTATCTAGAAATATATCATCTGTATGAATGAAAGTTACATAAGTCCACAGTAGGTTTTTATACAATAAATAAATGATATTAGAGGAGAGATAGACACTTCAAAACCAAATAAGCACTGAAGAGATTTAAAATAATTACATTTGTATAAACAAAACTGAAAACCACAAATCAGACACCAAATGTTAAATTAGTTATATATAAAATAGCATTCTAATGTATAAATAAATTATTACAATATGTGTAAAGTTTGTTACATATTATATTTAAATGTGTGATGTGTTATTATTTATAAACTTGTTTGCCAATTCTATATTTGAACATTTTAAACATCTATAGTAAATAGATTTCCATGTAAAAAATTACATATATATGATTCTATATTTTCCTGGTTGAATATATATACGTGCATACATGAAAAGAATTTAAAACATTGCAGAAGCTTTTTAAATTACTTATTACTATAGAAAACAACAAAATGTATTTTAATTTATTCTGTATTATGATAGCTAAAGGCAACAGCCATTGTTTTATATTTTACATAAAATAAATCTCAGAAGAATTTACCTGTAATCATTAGAAGTATGAAGCTCAGCTGTATAACATTTAAAAATTCAGTTCCTACCTCTAAGAAAACATCTCTAATTTACAAATATCAATTGGATAATGCTGTTTTTAGTAAAATAATCACTGTTTATTCTTCGAATAATACAAAAGCCATAAAAAAACACTCTCCTGACAAATGCAGAATTTCTGAATGCTAAAACAGGTGGTACAGTTAGTTATCAGTGCTTTAAAGGGCTAATATGATAATTAGGAAGAAATAGTTTGTGTCCACAAATTAAATAACATGATTCTGAATATATTAGTGCCCTGAAAAGACAACGGACACAACAAAATCAAAACATATTATAAATTCAAGAAACCAGGAACATTGTTATGTTGGCAAAATGTACAGCATTAAGGTATTATAAGTTGTACTATAATCTGTATGTGTTATATTTATCTTTTTCTTCACTATCGTCAGTGGCCAAAAATTTGCATTTAACAAAATGGACATATTTTATCAGTAGGCAAAGCCTATCTGAACATCAATTTAAGTGCAGAAGCATTATAAATATTGCACATATATTATCCATTTCATGTTGGGAATATGTAGTCATGCTATTGTTTATAACGAAATACTGTATATATGGTGTGAAGGAGTAAACAAAGACAAACACAAAATCTTAGTAAGTGTACAGTATGGTAAATGAAATTCAAAATTACTTTGGTTATATAGGAACTAGCAGTCGTAACTGGACATTTTCCCTATATGTGATATGGTGTGTTTATGCATCCATTTTGCTCATTTGTTATTTTAATAGTGGTGAATTTGGCACCCAATGAAAAGGAAGAGTGAAGTGACTTATATATGGTCAATTGTGGTCTTACAAGTTGGTAACTGTCTACAAGACTACGTGGCATTTAAACACAAAGAATCTCTATCACCATGAGAGTCTCAGATTATAAATGATCATTTGTACTTCACCTGTGGTACCAATATAATTAAAAGTATTTTAAAACAGGACAATAATATTTGGTTTTAAAAGAAAGAGAAAATTGGTAAAACAACTCATTATATATATTATGCTTGTAGCATTATGATCCTATCTGACTCATTTTCCATCAAGGACAGTCTAAAACAAGGAGATGCTTTGTCTCCCTTGCTCTTTAACTTGGAGCTAGAATATTCCATCAGGAAAGTCCAAGATAGGCAGGAGGGTTTGCGATTGAATGGGACACATCAGCTATTGGCATTTGCTGATGATGTTAATTTATTGGGGGGCGATATAGAAGCTAGTAGGAAGGTGGGGCTAGAAGTAAATTCAGAGAAAACTAAGTACATGTTAGTATCTCGTCGTCAGCAGACAGGCGGGCAGAATTATCTTAGGGTGGCTAATAAATCCTTTGAAAGTGTTACAGAGTTGAAATATTTGGGAACGACAATAACAAATCAAAATGATACTCATTAGGAAGTTAGGAGGAGATTAAATTCTGGAAATGCTTGCTACTTCTCAGTCCAAAATATTTTGTCTTCCCGTCTGATTTCTAAGAACCTGAAAATTAAAGTATACAAAACAATAATCTTGCCTGTTGTTTTGTATGGGTGCGAAACATATTCTCTCACTCTGAGAGAGGAACACAGATTGCAGGTGTCTGAGAATCGGGTGTTGAGGAGGATATTTGAGTCTAGGAGAGAATACGATGGGGCGTGGAGAAAGCTGCATAATGACGAACTTAAAAATTTACACTCCTTCCTCACTATTGTCAGGGTAATTACATCACAAAGAATGAGCTGGGTGGGGCAAAAGGTGTGCACCAAGAATTGGTCGGGAAGCCTGAGGGGAAGAGACCGCTGGGGAGACCTAGACGTAGATGGGAGGATAATCTCAGGCGGGATCTATGGGAGATAGGAATTGAAGGAGACTGGATTTTGTTGGCCCAGGACAGGGTCTGGTGGAGGGCTTTGGTTAATTCGATGATGAACCTTCAGGTTCCCTAAGCCATCTATTTAGTTAGTTAGTTAACTAGAATTATGATTCATTACACAAGGTGATTAAGCTGGGTTGGTTATGCAGAATATACATTAGCAAAAATAAATTATAACTAGTTATGGTTGATTATGCAACCAAGGTATGAATATCAGGGAAATACCATAAATTGTTTTAAAATGGATTAAACTAGCTCAATTTATGAGCTTTTGCAATGACAGTGATGGATGTAACAGGCTCGTGGTTCTCGAAATGCTGGTGTTTTCTCCATTAAACCACATTACATGGCTGGTAGCCTCAGAAGAATTCATTATACTTCCCTCATGTGTTTGTAGTTTGCCAGTAGTAAAGGGATGATGCAGTGGGTGTGATGAGGGGGTGGTAGTAGAACAACTCAGAAGGCAACCATCTTCATATTCCCCACTGTTAGAACCCAAAATATAAGATAATTTATTTTCTCGCAATCACTGCCATAATATAAACTTCCCTTGACTGAACTGTGATAAACAATATTGTATTGTTCATGCATATGACTGGAAATAAAAGGATGGCTTATGCTAGCCAAAAATCTATGGGCCTTGTTTCCTGTTTAAAGACATGATTAAAATGGTTGTGTTCCATCATCACTTCTACAGAATACTCCATACTGAAGTCAAACTTTTTCACTTTTGGATCTAATTTGTTATATTGGTACCGAGGGTTTTTGTCTGGTCAATTTTCAGTAACACAACAAAAGGACCACAGCTGACCTTCATATCAGTTTTGTCAGTTTGATTCTTTAACTGCTCATTTTTGGCGAAGTTATCGTGACTCAAGGTATATTGAAGCATATTGTACCTAGAGAATATAATGTTAGAATGTGAGATTTCAAGTTCTCGTGGCAATAAGTATGAAGATAGCTGTCTTCTGAGATGTTGCACTGTGCAGTCTGGTAGGCATTTACAGATATTCCAAAGATGCTTGCTTGCTGCAAGCACCTCTGAAATGTCAGTACATTTATACCAGACTACATGACATAACCCAGGAGACAGCCATCTTCAATGTTAGAAAGTGCTAAAAATGTACATGTTCCATTTTTTAAAATAACTTCCAATCAAAAGACCTCAAATGTCTTTGTAAGATTTATAGTATGTTACAGAAGCATAACCATGTCAATTAACAGTATGGAATATTTTTGTGTCTGTAGAATTCATGCGCATCAAGTTCTTACGGAACTTCAATGAAAAGTGTCTATGATACTGTGTGAAAAATGACAGAACTGAAGTACGGAAAAATAATTTCTGAAGTCCATGATCGCTGACACCAAAAGGCCAAATAATGAAAAATCAATATTTAAAGAAAAAAGGATATATTAGTTCCAAAATAAAGTACTACAATATGTAACAGAAGTCAATATATAAATTTAATATATTGTTTTCCTTCAAAATTTGGTGTGCTAACTAGCTTGATATGAAATTCTTGCACACACACTATATTTACATTTTTGTTTTGAAAACAGCTGCTACTTTGTCAAAAATATTTTAGTGTTAAACAAATCAAATAATAATCAAAATATAATGCATGAATGTGCTTGGTTCTAAACTTTCAAACTGCAAAATCTTGTTTCTTACCTTTCATAATTATTTATTCAATAATAATATGATGGTAAACATGTTTTAATAAATGTGCATGATGTTTCATGCTGTGTACATTACTGAAAAAGCAAAGTTTCTGATGCACAACTGCTGCTTTGAAGCTTCGTTAGAGGCCATATTATATATAGCTGGTTTAAGCGATGAAGTAAAAGGTAATTAATGAGATAATTGTGGTCTGAAAAGAAGTGAGCCAAGTGGGCAAGATGTTTGATTTTGTGATATGCATGTCATGTGTGGCTTAGCAAGTCTATTAAAATCAAAATCACTTGTGAGCATCAGCACAATGCTTGACACTTGAACTACTTACAAACTTCATATACGTTCCATACAGGTTAAGTTTAAAATTCAAAAAAAAGAGTTCCTCTTATCATTGTTTGTATACGGTTTTACTGACCTGTATAAAGTTTAATGCATCATGATCTCACTAAGTTCTGCTAATAAAATTCTATTTTAACCCATATTTGACAATATGAATTACTACTTAACATAAAACCAAAATCTGGGATATGAGAAGGTACAGGGAATTTTATGTTCTATTTAGAATATTTCTAAATGTTTCTTATGTAGGTGTATAACAGTTACATATATATGTAAAGTTCTTGAATTTTATCCATTATTAAGGTTTCCTTAAAACAGTAATTTTTTAGATTTGTTGTTCCTGTCTTCAGACAAAGGATTCTAATCTGCAGGGTCTGCTTGAATGAGATAATGTCAGCAAATGAATCAAATACAGTGGGAGTCACAATTAGGCCCTGGTTTAAAGAAATTATAACTCTAAAATGAATAAAGCTACAGATATGAACACTTATAAAAATGTAAATTGTTCACACAAACTTGAAGTTTGTACCAATACAATGTACTTAATATCACACCTGCAGCTTTGTCCATTTCAGAATTATAATGGCCCAAATTGGACAAAAGGAAAACAAACGAGTATACCATGTAAACCAAAGACATTACCAACATAGGAAATGAGATAGCGAGCTATAAATTACTGCCACTGGGAAACAGTGTTTATAGTATGGGCAGTACTCGCTTCCTTATCTGCTACCCCTCCGGCCTTACTTCTAACGGACCTTGAACATACAGATTTGCTCCAACTATAGTACAGTCCATTCGCCAACAAAAAAATACTGACCAATAATACACCTCTTGATATTAGGCATTGCCTACTTAGTTTATTGTTGCATCAAAGAGTGAGATATCTTCCCTGTGTGATTTGCAAAGACATGTACTTCGTAACGAGATTTACACATTATTACATTGATATACAAATAGATTATTAATATATAAATAATATTATACAAATAATATACTAATGTACTATTTTCAATACAAATAGATTTAGGAAGAATCAAGTTATGCACAGACAGAATTTAAATGGCTCAAAATTCTGTCTTTAATGAAACAGATCCGTGCGTCATGCGTGATCCAGCTGGCCACATATCACACTAGCATACTGCAAAACTACTAAATCTGAAATTAAACTCTGGCTAGCAACCCCCATAGTATGAGGGTTTAAATCCCATTATTGTATAATGAAGATTAAAGAGTATGGTTTTCAGCTTGAAAAGTAAATATTTACATGAAATTTTGAACAAATTTTTGATGGGAAGTTTTTTAAGGGATTCAAATCTGCAAGTGCAACATTTCTATATATGTACATTTCTAAAAGACATTGCAATGAAGTAGTTAATCTAGAAGAAGTCTTGTCCAATGACAGAACATAAATCAAATACTAATCAGAATTTTAGTTACATTCAAAATTAATTACCTAAGTTATAATTATAATATTTAAAAAGTAACCACCATTAATTTGCATCATGTAATTTATTTAACTATGATAAAACATAACACTGAATAAGAGATCGTGACTTAGTACAATAAAAATTATATTTTCAAACAACAAAAGACTACACATGAAGTGACGATATTAAAAATTATACATTTTAAAGTGCACTGTTGTTGGCATGATGCCTCTCTATTCCTGTACACCAGGGGTCGTCAACCTTTTTATACCTACCGCCCACTTTTGTATCTTTGTTGATGGTAAAATTTCCTTACCGCCCACCGGTGCCGCACGTACTGCCCACCACCATGAAAGAGGTACAGCTCGAAGACTGAGTGATGGCCGGTGGTAAGCCCCGCCCTCGTTATGCGCACTAAACTCGTGCCTTTGGCTACGGAGCTCATTCGTTGCTCCCTCGTCCACGAGTATACTTCAAGAAGTGTCCGGTGAATTATTATCTATATTCAAAGTTTAGAGATGGAATTCAAAAGTAAATTGCAAAAGCATATTTTAAAAAGTCAAACTCACGAAGTTGTTAGTAATGTATTCGATATATGGAGGAAGAACAAAATTTGTAACGGACAAAAACCCCCACCGCCCACCACGAAAGCTTGAATCGCCCACTAGTGGGCGGTAGGGACCAGGTTGACGACCCCTGCTGTACACAGTAATACTTACATCCACATGCAAACACATCTCTAAGGTCAATTCCCAATTACAGGATGTTGTCAGTTGCTGGTGCTACAACTGCATTTAAAATTAAGGTACTATACATTATGCCATCCAAAGATTCCACTGTTCATAACTGCTTTCAATCAAAAGATAAAATAAAATTTAGACAACAGGCTCTCACCATATCCTTTTCAAAGAATACAACCCACCCCACAAAAACCAACATGGTACAAACATTAATTTTAATGGGGCTATAAACAGTGCAACTTTTTAATTTACCAGTACCCAGTTTAAGGTTTAGTTTTCTTAAGCTTGAATTTCAGTAACTGAACATCAGTACTATCAGAGTCATAACCTTCACACCTTAGGGTTCTATTTGGTCAAGTGTTCAAATCCACTGCGTGCTAATGAAACGTAAAAGTTAATTTCACTATATTTCAATGACTGTCCTACACTAAATGTACATTTATGCAGAAACCTTTTCCCCAAGCTAACTTAGGTTTATATACATAACGTTTGTTAAAGGCATGCTACACGAGAAAAATTACGTATGAAGTTCATTTTACGTATTACGGACGCATTACTATATTTAACAATTTTGTGGATTCTTAATTGCACAACATTTCCATTACAGAATGTGATATCTATTTACAATTTGCAGATAAATTTAAGGGCGTCTGTTTCCTAACAGGGTCATATTCAATGAAAGAAAAACAAAACAACGTATACAAAATACTCTCACCTATCTCTTCATGTTTTTCTTTTGCCTCCGTATTAATCTGTATGTCTGTCTACAGTTCGTCAGAAGGTGTTATTCCTAAGCAGGGTCTTTGTACCTGTATTTTTTCTGTTTAATTTATAATGCATATAAATGTATTGCTTGTTGTTTGTGTTTCCTTTTTCTGTCATGAAAAAGAAAGAGAAAAAAATAAAAATACACTGTTGTCAAAACATGATTAGTATTTATTTCTTTAATAACATGCCAAAACAACAAACATTATTAAACTAAAACATTACTAAGGGAAAAAAACACTAAACAGAAGATGAATCGTTTCAATGTTCAGTCTTAAACTTTAGGTGGTATGTTACGCACATGTACAACACAGAGATTGCATAAGGAATACGTGAAGTTCTGACCAAAAGAAAAACTGCCTGATTAGCATAAGGATTAGCACTTTACCTCAGAGCTCAATGAATTATTATGCTTATCTGGATAAATATGTAATTATCATCATCAGGGATTAGGCACTAATGCCTGTTCCAGCTTCAAATTGATCTTTCCATCTTCTTCATTTTACTTCTCCTTTCTGTACCCCATATGCTTACATACTTGATTGCCTCTCCGGAAGACATACAATGGTGAGCACGTGATTGCATCTAACTCTTTGGAAAACATTCCTCACATACATCCAATGACCAGAGAAACAAATGATTTTCACAATTAATTGCACGGACTTCTTTAGTCCGTTCATACTGCGATTCTTCCGTAGCATATCTTTCATTTTTCAGTCAACCTTACTGTCCGTAATGCATCAGATTTGTGAATTTCCAATGTGGCTGTTGTACCTTCATTGAACCTGAAGAAGACACCTCCGTCTATAACAAGTCCTCCATCAAAACAGCGCGACTTAACTTCAATCTTGTTTGCAAAACCCCGAGGTTCGAGACCCTTCGGATCCGGCCACACACCTGCTGAGATGAGGTCTCGTACTGTGTAAGTCATTCGTTTATCTTCTATTTCAGAAACGAGAATTAACACGGTTACATACTTTCTCAAAACATTATTTACTAAAAAAAATGTCAGTATACCAAAATTCATTAGATTAAAATATTTAGATTCTGCTCAGTGGAGTTCTGCATATACAGATAATAAGCTCACATACTCTGGAGGGAGGATTCTTTTTGTTATGACAAGTGGGGAGGTTTATTTTAGGCAAGGTAAAGGCCTCAATGTATTTACACAGAAATATTATCGGTAATCTGAGTTCCATTTCAAAGCTTCACAGTTAACTAGGTCTGTTATGATTAACTGATCTGAATAATGAATTCATTTTGAAATTACCGGAAATTTTTATCAGCTCATTCACCTTCAAACATTATATTTGTTTGCCATGTTCAAAGTATAAAATTTAAAATTTTGTAATCTCAAAAATTTTCTTAGTGCCAGTAATTTTGTCCACTGGTCACTGTCTGAGTTACTTAATTTAAAGACATAATACACCACCTTCTTCTAGCCTCAACTGACAGTCTTTATCATTTATTTCATAACAATTTTGATGATTTTCAAAACAAAGTATGTTCCGTTAACAAATTAAGAAATTTCAAATATTAATCAGTTAACAGTATTGTCATCATAACATTCTGCGCATTGCATCAGCCACTGAGAAGAGAAAATATCTTACAAGTCTTACATTCATAGGTAATTGCTGTACTGATGATGGAGGCAGCAAGCATCTCTGAAATGTCAGTAAACTTTTACCAGACTATATGGCACTATAATCCAGAAGATAGCCATCTTTTTAACTTCTGCCTATTTCAACTTTGAACATGAGGACAATTTAATTTTAAATTAAGTTACGATCCTCAGAGATAATCAAGAGAGCAGACATACCACAATTGAACACCAGGTTCTGGTTAAATTCATCAGTGACTTGCTTCACAAGTCCTGGATCCCTGTGTGACATTCCCAAAAGCTTCAACACCTCTGCCACTGACTGTTCTGTGATGCGGTTGATGCTGATGTGCCATGATGTGGAACCAGTACCCGTGCTCACACACAGTCCTGAACTTTTCACTTTTGTCCACGCACCATTATCAAGACTCAATCCAAAGTATGAGACTCGTGACGACAAGCTCTCACCCATATATACCTTCAACAACGTTAGAAATAAACAAGGAATGTGAAGTGTGTCATAATTTGAGAATCATATCTAGGTGGTGAATATCATCGTCAAATTCTTCACACGTTATGTCGTCGTCGTCATCATTGTCGTTACCAAAATATTTTGCCTTCATGCTTCCTATCTAAAATCCAAAGTATTAAAACATAAAATAAATGTTTTATCTATTATCTTTGAAAGAAAAGAGAATGACCGTATCTCAGAACAAAATTCTGAGAAAATTTGTACCTAAGGTATTATAAATAACAGGACTGACGAAACTTAAATGAGGAACTTCATAAATTGTTCTCTTCACCAAATATTTTTAGGATGATCAGACTGAGGATGACATAATGTGTGGCACAGTTGGCATGAATGACGGGGATAAGAAATTTATACAAAATTTATGCAAAATATAACAGTAATTTTATTAACGTATGTACTTTTTCATTCTTCTAAGGTATTTAAAAAACAAGTAACAAATTAAACATATCTCGCCAACTTCTGACAAATGTATGGAACTATCTGGTCAATCATAGCAGTCGCCAATCGAGAATAGGGTATTTGGTAGAGAAAATGTGAGGACGTACTCAGTTAAACTGACAAGGAAACTGAAAATTGGTTTACCTCATTGAGAGCAAGGACTGGTAGAACTTCTGACGTAACATTCATTGATGACAGGGGCAAAGACTGCTTCTTTCTCTCCAATTCACTGTAGAAAACATAACATCCAGACCAAGAAAATGTTACCTTAGATTTTGTATATTCTCAGTTACATTACTGTGGCATAAATTAATTTATAAATCGGTCTCAACAACATTATTAGCTATAAAATGTCAACTATGTAAATAATACTTTATACAATTCTGAATGTGAAACAAACACAATTTTACGTAACAGACCACTTCTTCACAACACCCCATGTTTGAGCACTGAAAATATATCATGCTCAATATTCTAATTCTGATTAAAACTAAATCACTAATTCTTAATCAAATGTAAGATTAAAAATCCGTGTTAACAGAAACATATCAACATGTGCGTAAACAGCTTTTACCCCATATTATGAGAATACTCTCTTGTTTTACATTTGCTATGTCATCATCAGTGGCTCTACAACTCGGTGTGGGACTTGGCAGCCTCTACGGAGGTTTCTCGGTCTTTGAAGTGTGCATTTGTGAGTAGTGAGTGACCACTCCGCTGACTCTGCACAATTTCTACTCAATCCCGATTTGACTGCCAGAGCCACCTAGCAGTCGACTGGGAGACTGAATTTTGCTTACAAAACATCTCATTCATGCTTATAAGGTTCTTTTACATGCCGTAAATCTACAACATCAGACTGCCAGCTTTACTTCCCCTCCAAAGGAAGTTGTGCTATGGATTTTTATCACTCTTAAAATTCCATCGACCTCGGCTGTGTCTGAACCCGCGAACGTTGGGTCCAGTGGCGAGCACGCTAACCACTAGTCCACCGAGGGTGACACATTAGTTACTCAATTAACGCAGAGGTAGAAATGTTTTCAGAGTGTACTCACTTTAGGCTGCAAAGTGATATTGTTACTGTTATATTCATTTACAGCTGTTAAATCCACCTAGTTCAATAGTTCCTACTTTGGCTACCAGATCGCAGCACCTCAGTGTCTACCACATAACTTTCCCCATCCACCATTTCGTTATCACTGCTGCACGATATTCCAAAGTACGATTTGAAGTCATGCAGAATGGCACAACCTCCACGATAAATTTAATTAAAACCCGTCCAGTAGTTCTCAAGTTGATGGGGCATACAAACAGACACATCAAGCTCATAATGCATTCTCACTGTGTACTTCGTACAAAAAATGCATAATAATGGTTCAACAACTGATTACATGATAAAACTGTTCTTTTTATTTCTTCTATCCTCTTAAGATCAACATTAGATTAACTTCACAAGCTTAGTTTCATAAATACTAACCTGTATGATGGATGAATGACATGTTCATGCAGTTCAAATGGGGTGGCACACAAATTTTCACCATGTAATGTGATTCTAATTCGGCTACGAAACATCCATTCAAATTCTCCCTGCAAACAAAAATAAGTTGTAATATAAAAACGTTTGAGAAACTCAGATGCTGAGAGACTGAAGTCTTCAGAGTTTACAGGCCAATACTTCAGAACTAAGCTCATCAGAATAAATGAAAAATGTGATAAAATATGAAGTATGTAATGTTGAATCATATGTGACTCAGAAAGGCTCGACAACCCCAATATATCTAGAAAAATTTCAGACAGAGACTACAGTGTAGCAAACATTCCCTGGGCCTTTAACCCCAGACAGAAGTCACATCATACTGAGCGAAACCAATCAAGGTAGCAGTTATACCTCACATACCAGCCACTTCTAACAGTCTGCAGGCTTCTGGCAAGGTTCAACATATGAACCGCACACACTCCAGAAAAAAATGTGCACCTACTAAGACTGGTTAAAGATGACCTAGGCCCCAAGGTCCCAAGAATAAACTGCATCCAATGTGAATGTTATAAGGTGTATGTTGGACAGGTAAGCTGCAGCAATGAGATGAGATGTAAGATATATATAAGCACATGACTGATATACTTCAATATTATACTCCCATCTGCATCTAGGTCTTCTGACTGGTACTTTTTTTCAGACTTTCCAGCCAAAATATTTGTAGAAATTTCTCATCTCACCCACGCAAACTACATGCCCTGCCCTACAAAAAACGTTTTCATGTTTATTAATTATACATGTTAGATATAACATTTTAAATGTCTCTGGTTCCCTTAACCTCATTTTTCCCATAATGTCTTAACTATACACACAGTGTTTTTATTGTCTGCAGACATTTTCAAGAACATAATCCCCATGAACAACAACAGTGAATTGTAAAATATGTCTTATGTTCTGCACATCTCTCACAATGTGTTATTTAGATTATATTTCATTGCATAAATGACATATCTGCTACTGAGCAGACTGATTCAAAGTGGTAATATATATTAGAGTCTAGCATTTCTGTCTAAGGTATTTTGTGATTTTTATGACCTGTGCCAGGCCAATGGTATTAAATACAGGACATCATGATTTCCTATCCTTTTGCATTCACTGTACATAGGTGTTCTCAGTCCAAGCCAAATAATGTCTACAGTTGATACAGAACTATAACATAACCTATGAAATGAGACATCACATTAGTTTATGGTTCAACCAACAGTCTGGTTTAGCAGCTGCAGTCACTTTAACTGACTCAGGACTCTAAATATAGCCTTTATAATAAACATTGCTCCATCAAGTTATCCCCCGTGACTCTTTGTTGAGAATATACTATTTTTAATTGCCACAGCACACCAAGAATTGTATGTCTTATAGACTGATATAATGCAGATAATTCAGTAGCTCCTATCACCACGCAAATGGGGGTTCATTTATTGTGGTTTTTGAGAACAAAGCACTGAGGAAAATACATGAACTCAAAGGACAGGAACTACCAGGATAATGGGGAAAATTACACAGTGAGGAGCTTCAGAATTTGTGCTCCTTATTTTAAATTATTTTTATCATCAAATTCTAACATATGGAATTACTAAAAAATAAGAATTACATTCATAAAGAAATTAGAAGCAGATCATACTGAGGGAATGTTTGCTACAGTTCAGTTCAGAAAGATTTGTGTTCCCATCTCCATTCTAAAAACATAATATTAAAATATACAAAACCATAATTTTACCTGTTGGTTTTTATGGGCATGAAACTTGGTTTCTCACATTGAGGGGGGAACACAGATTAAGTGTATCTCAACACAGTACTGAGGAAAATATGTGAACCTAATTGGATGAGGCTGGAGAAAACTGTACACTGAGGAATTTATAATTTCTACTTTTCATCAAATATTATTAGGGTGATCAGATCAAGGTTGGCGAGCTGGATGGGGTACATACCGAACATACATGAGACGAGAGATGCATACAGAATTTTAGTTAGGACCTGTAGGAAAGATACCACTTGCTTGACCCACGTGGGAGTATAATATTAAAATAGATTATCAACAAACAGGATATAAATGTGTGAAATGTATTCTTCTGCTTCAGGACAGGGATTCTTGTGTCAGACAGACTCTTATGAATACAGTCATAAAAGATAGTGTCTGTGACCAGCTGGGTGACTACTAACATCTTAGAAAGAATTGTGATTCATGGAGTTAAGTTAAGGTTATCATAACAAGTAAGATGAAATGGGTGGGGCATGTATCACACATGTAAATGATGAAAACTGGAAACAAAACTGTCATAACATCTATATGTGTAAACCTATATGGGAGTATACTATTAAAATGGATGTTAAATAAATATAAAATAAAAGTGGTCATGGGTTACTTTAATTCTGTCTATTCCTGTGTTAGATTCAGTCTGAAAATCCTAACAATCATGTTCCAGTCTAGGATGGAATAGTCTAATGTTCATAAAAAATAAAATTGGCATGGAAGAGTGAGCCTCAAAAGTTAAAGTACTACCCTGAAATTTGTCTAGAAATTAGGAAATCAATACATATCTCAATCAGGATGGCATATTTTCTGATTTCAAGAACATAAAAACTCCCATATTTACAACAACTATTTGGATTAATTGTGTATTATTTGGTTGAATAAGGTGCATTCTCTATTCTTACATGTACAAACATCAAAGTAAGCAGGAGCTAAGTTCTTACCTTTAAAAGTTTGTCAACAGCTTCTTTAACATTTTCGGAATATTTAACTGGCAGACAGAGATAACCTTCTGATCGACTGGGATCTGAATTAAGACCAACAACTGGCTTCTCATTCCCACTTACTCGACTAGCTGCCATAAGATATGTACCATCACCACCCGTTGGGATTATAATGTCAGCCCAGTCTATATTGCTCTGTGTGTATTCAGACCTATGGACAACACAACACCACTCATTAAACACCTCAGGTGAATATATATCTACAGTACAATACAAAGTATCAGTAATACCATGTATTGTGTGTATGTCTATATATATATATATATATATAATGGAAATTTGAAATGGTTAAAAAGTAAGAGATTTGATAAAGCTTACACATTTTCTGTAATACATGACTATATGTTACACTCTTTAATCAGGTGGGTGAAATGCAAAAGGAATGTAGCTAACCACTTTACCCTACTATTTTAACTTAGTATTATATTCAATAAACGTTTCTAAATAATCACTAAGGCTGAAGTCACTACATTAATAATAATATTATTATTTTAAATGTGTGTTTCACAATAAAAAATTTAGCTGTGTGTGATGGAAATACTATATATTATATACTACAACCACTTCTTCCACACAATGTCCAATCCATCATTCATAATCAACCAACCATTCAACATAATATAACCACTGTAGTTGAAAACATGATGTTAAATAAACAAATAATCAATCTTCAACTGTTCTGAATAACTCAAGAGTTCACTGTGCATACCAAATAACATGTAGCAGGAACGTTAAGTACACTAACTCAAAACTTAAACAATACATAACTTAAGTAAATCACACATTTAATTTTATTCCTCACCTGTTGACAATTCTTGTTTCTATTCCACACTCATTAAATATGTTCCTGACTCTGTGTTCGAACTCCTTATGTAAATTGTGGTGCTGTAGCAATACATCATAGTCAAAACACTGTTTTCTCAGAGTAGCTTCAAGTTTGGCCATCTTCAGATCTGGATATCGCTTACACTCTAGTTCATATCGAGTCACTTTCGACACAAGAAGGGCACGTTTCAGACAAATCGATGGTATTGCTGAATAGTGGCGTTGGCCACTCATGATGGATGCTAACATGGAATTACAATTTTGTTGTAATGCAGCATATATTCGCAAGTACTATGTTACAAATAGTTTAAAATCTCAACACTTCTTGAAATAAACTGTCGCAAATTAACACAGTATAACCTCAACAAAACTATGTTTAGCTCATGTTAACTATATCTTTTCAGTCAAGCAACAAAAAGTCATAAAAATATAGTTAAAATTGACAGTGGAACCACGGTTCCAGAGAATCTGACGTAAATACGTCTCTGTAATGTAATGTAATGAAATTAAATAATTCTTATATAAGATAAGTACTTGTGATATTCCAAAACGTTTTTACTAGCACAAAATTATCTAGTCTACGACGCACTTCTTCTACAAGCGATTCACAGCTCAGCTCTTTCCGCAATAACGAAAGCGGATTATTGACGGCAGTAAACAATTAGTTTCTTACGTAACATAACAATGCACGCAGCAGTTCATATAAAAGCTGACCATTGTTGTCGGTCCATATTTACACATTGTTGATATGGATCTTACACAACTTCGTTACGCTTTTTTGCCGAATGACGCTTCCGCATAGACGTATTTCCGTCAAAAAGGAGAGGGGAAGCATTCGTGTATCATATATTAAAATATTTCGAACTCATATAAGCTTATAAATACCACATAAAGGCCACGTGCTTCTCCTCTTGCCAAGGGAACGTCGAGATGTCAAGCAAATCATAAAGCAAGCTGTGGATTGAACACGTCAATAGCTTAAATTATTTTCAACCTTGTTCCTTACCAAACAACCCTTTCCAAGACAATATTCGGAATGATGACATGTTTCATACAAAGTGTCACCTCATTGTGGTTCAAAATATTACAAATATATTGCAATAAAACTGTCATTGTTGAATCCCACAGTTATTCGACATGTCAACACATTACTGCACACGTCCGTTCGTATTCCTTACACACACCCCATTGTAACTCATTTACGTGAAGTTGACAGCATACGTAAAGACATCTTGGCACGATTCACAAAATCTACTACTACAAGTATGCTATTATTATTCACAAGAGATGTCGCAATGGTTGACAAGCTACGTGAACTACAAAGCAGTTGTTTTCATAACCGTTCCGTTACGATGGCGTGTTCATATCTATGGTACTGTTCATGTCAATTGGCAGATGTGCATTACGTGCCACGTGAATGCAATTAGTATAATTCTTGTTAGAAAGTAAATAGTTATGCGTTGAATAACTGAGTTTCTTGATTGGTATGATTCAATGTAACTATCTGTTTCAGACTGAATATAATTTCAATGTCAGACACAGATGAATAGGATATAATTAAGCGTGATGGTAATATGTATTATTTGAAACTTTCGATAGATGATCGAATGTATTATGATTACTGAGGGATTCTGTAGTGTTATGGTCTTTTAATTTCATGTTAACTCTCAATAAGTAGTACCATATTGTAATTTGGAGAGTAACTTTATGTGATACAGGGAGAACAATGTTAATTATAATTAGTAGCCAAACGTATCCAAGTACCATACGCGTTTTTCGCATTTTATATCACTTTTCTTACAGGGTGATTTGTGCTCTTAATATTATTAACTTAATTGCAAAATTTAGAGGGCATGCAAACTTTGGGGAAACATTAATTTTAAGGGGCCACAACCCACCCAATATGTTTCCTTATTTGGAATCGTTCTAATATTAAGAATATTATATTATCAGGGCTATTTTTATAATTCTTTGTTATTTGGATTTTGCATATGTTACTTGTGTATATCGTAAGATAGCCGGTCTCACTTCATGTTAACTTATGGTATTCGCATTGTCGTCGTGGTGTTGTGTCATGTCTGTAGTCCTTTATTTTCTTTAGGTTGGTCATGTAATTCTTGATGTGTGTTGATTATATTTTCGACCACTTAGGTTGGTATTTGCTGTTGTGAAAATCGTCTTGCCAGGATCACCAACCCTTATGTATAAAATATTCATGTTTCATGTTTTTTGTTTATACTTATATAGTTGCTGATCTGTTAAAATGTAGTGTAATTAGGGCACGAGTTTACTACAGAGTTTTTGCAGAACTTTTTACTGGTACTCTGTATATGTACGATGCAGTCATCTTATAGTGGCTGAAGAATAGTTGTGCATGATGTTTCCTTCCTAGTGTGGGATAATTATGTAATTTGTTGAGTTATGTTGGTGCAGTGTGTATTAACATGTGGTTCTAGCTATATCGAGGTCAGTAGTGGAATGTTTTGTGGCTGTTAGATTTGTAATATTTTTTTTGTAAAATAAATGGATCCAACGCCGTGGGATGACGAGGATAATCCAACTGAAGATCTGGACGTTGAAAAATCTGAGTGGGCTTGCAGGGATGGTTTGATATTCTTGATTGATGCAACTAAACCAATGTTTACTGAAGAGGAATCTGGAAAGTCTTCCTTTCTTATAAGTCTACAGGTGTGATGAAAGCTTTATATTAATTTACATTTCTCACTTGAAGACTTGGACAAGGTATAACGTATGGTTTTGGTGGTTTTCTTCAGCCTTTTATGCAGATGCCTCGAAGTTTCCCGCCATCGGCACCTTTCATGTCTTTAAAAGGTGTACCATTTAAGACTACGCACTATATAATTTGACAGTATTTGACCTCGTTGCTTGGAACACGAGTTAAGCGAAGCTGTATCACCCTGGGTTCTACATGAGATTTTATAACACAACCATAAAGGAATTTCATTTAGTCATATTGTGTTTACTAAATAAAACATTGTTCGTGGGTTGACCTGCATTCCAATTTTGTGAAATGCCATAAATTAAGGAGGCAATGACATGCATTTGTCCACTGGACATAGCACTATAAGAATGCTATAATCTCTATAAATAAGAACATGAGACAACATTATAATACAACAGCATCATATATTTGTCGCCAAATTCAAGTTTTATTTGGTCTGCTGAGTGTTGAGATCTGGTAGTCAACAGCCCTACTTCATATTTTGGAGGCATGGCTTAGTGAGCTTATTTGCCTGGGTTTGTTTTGTGGTTTTCCTATTTCTATAGGCAAACGTGGTCTATCATGGCCACTTTCTTTCATATTCTTCCCAATTTGTTATTCACTGATCATGTAATCATCTGATGCTATATTCTGAGTTACTGACTGTTATTAAATAATCACATATAGGTACAAATGTGCAGTTATTATATGTGGTACAAATCATTCTATTCTTTGACCAAACCATATATAATTGTGCGCTTTCATGGAGACTTATGTTAATTAAATCTCAGCCTGCAGGCCATGTCAGTTGGTTTGACTGTGCTGTGGTCCTCAAAACATTGGTGATGTTTAACCAACTGACAGCTTCTAGCCTAAGAAGATAATGTTGTAACATACCTCATGTAGCTGGTTACTGTATTCTAATACATATAACAGAAGTGGGCTGATTAGGGGGAGATTATATGAGAAAGTGTAGTAATTCATAATTATCTCTCACAGTGCTGTAAGACTACCATGCTGAACACAATAATTAGCTCTGATCAAGATATGATTGGTATCATATTATTTGGCACAAACAAGACAAGTAATGTACTGAATGTTCCACATATAGCTGTTTTGCAAGATCTGCAACAACCAAATGCGGATAAGATCAAGCAACTGGAGACCATGTTAAAACGTAAGATTCTGTTTTCAGAAATTTTATTTCAGAAGGAAGTGAATATGCTTCGCTATGATGATTTGACTCAGCAAGTTACATGCATTTCTGCAGATTTGTCATAGCTTGCTAGTTAAGTTGCTATGAATTGGTTTTTCTCTTGAAATTAGTTTCAGGCATGTCAGAATGATATTACAATCAGCCAAGTTTCAAGAAATTCTGATAGTAAAAGAACAAGAATTTGCAGAATACTGTACTGGCTCACTTATAATGCAATGTCATTTTATTAATAATTGGTTGTAACATTTTAAGCCACCTTATAGAAGTGTTTAATTAAACTGTTATAACAGTTTTTCTTTCTTTCTCTTGCTTTCTGAAAATGGGGTCACTGTACATTCAAAATCCACCTACTGTCAGGCTATTTTTTCTTGCTTTCTGAAAATGGGATCACTGTACCTTCAAAATCCACCTACTGTCAGGCTATTATGGTAATATCCTTTAAACTTATTTCAGTGTGAGTAATGTTATATGGTTTCAAACCTGGGAGGCCAATGGGGATACCCTCATCTTTAAATAAATATAAATATTGTGTAAAGAAAATACTTCAGGATAAAATCTGGAATGAGGTAGTTATAGCAGAGTTTGAGGTAGAGAATACAATAAAATATGGATTAATTTAATATTTAATTGTTCCAGACATGTTTTATCATGTGCAATAGTAAAATTTCTTGACTTGTTTCAGGGAAAAACTTTAATGATTTTACAGCTACATTTGGTCACAGTGATGACTTTGCCATATCAGATGCTCTTTGGCTGTGCCAGTCAACATTTTCTAGTAGGTGAGTGAAAAACAGTAATATCAGAATTTTCATGATGTGATGTTTTTAGTGATCACACCACGAGTTCTTAATACACTATGAATTTATTTCACTCTATTACAAATACAATTGATTATTTGCTGGATTAATACCTCAAATCACAGTCCTGATTAACTGGGTATGTATGTAGTTATTGTGTTTGAATTCACATTATCATGATAGGAAGATGTACATGACCAGACTCTATTTAGACTTGCCTGCAGTTAATTTGAGACGTGTTTAACAACCAAATAATTCTAGCCTCTGCATAAAGTCCTAAGCATCTGTCACTAATTTCGTGCACATTATTTCTTGAGCACTACATTTCTTCAGTAATATGATATGTCAAATCACAGACACATTCTCTCAAGATATTTCTGCGATTAGTAAGGCAATGTTTATGCATCATTTTGAACCAGCAATGGCATTATTGCCTAAATGTGGTAATCTTATAAACTTTACTCTTTCAACTATATCAGGGGTTATTAACCTTTCAAGACCTAAGCTTATTCATTACTCAGTTATAGTCTTTAACAAATTTATTGATTTGTCATTCTTATTAAAATTCACTTAAAAGTATGCAAATATTATATGGTGAAACACATCGACAGGTCACAGATTGTGAACCCTTGTACTATGATATCATTCAAAGTTGCGTTAATCTGATTTAGATTAAGGGATGATTTTCTCTGGAATGAGATAAAACTTACATATTGATATGTTTATGCTATGATGTTTGCAACAGGCTGTTCCCATAGAACAAGTTGAAACTTACTATTTTGTGTAAAACCTCTACTCCTATCTTTTGCAGTCAGTTAAAGCTGAACTCCAAGAGAATCTTTTTGTTTACAAACACTGACAATCCCCATGCAGGATCTCAGCACAAAGAACATCTGGCAAGAAGTAAAGCAGCAGATCTGGGGCAAATTGATGTTGATGTGGAGTTGCTTCACATGGGTAATAATTTTGACCCTTCACTTTTTTACAAGGTGAGAGAAGACATCAATGTGACATTTCTGTTTGTCATTGCTTGGACTCACATATTAGGAGAAAAAACTTTCTTATGTATGAATTTTTAGGGACAGAGTAGAATTATTTTTGTTATACTTCTAGTTTTGAGACATCAGTCGCTGTATCACACAGTATGAATAAAAATTCAATTTAAGTATCATGATAAATTTGTTCACCCCTCTTTCAAAGTAGATTTACTGTTGCCAATTACCAAACAACACAAACTTCTACTTTTCTGCTATGAATGTAGGAACATTATAATCCTGGAATAATACATGAAACTGTCAGTCATAGAGACCTAGTTTAAGACCCTGGTTGCAGATCAATTTTCTCTTCAGTGAGTGAGTAAATAATGATGAGCTTAAAAATCTGTACTCCTCCGCCAATATTGTCGGGGTGATTAAGTCGAGAAGAATGAGATGGGTGGGGCATGTAGCGCACATGGATGGGACAAGAGGTGTGCACTGGATATTGGTCGGGAAGCCTGAGGAGAAGAGACCGCTGGGGTGACCTAGACGTAGATGGGGAGGATAATGTCAGGCAGGATCTATGGGAGATAGGAGTTGAAGGAGACTGGATTTTGTTGGCCCAGGACAGGGACCGGTGGAGGGCTTTGGTTAATTCGGTGATGAACCTTCGGGTTCGGTAAGCCATCTAGTTAGTTAGTTAATTAGTTAGTTAGAGTGAAGTTAAATCTTGAAAGATTTGAGGTTTTCACAGCGGTGAGTATGAAGATTTCTGTCTTCTTCGCCCTGATGACAGAGGCAGTATGACCGCTGAAACGCTGGTTAACATCGACCAGACTACACAGCGCAACAACCCAGAAGACAGAAATCTTTAAATCTTGAAGTTTGAGAATATGCCAAGTATCAGGTCATCACTTGTTTGGAGACTATGTGAGAGTGTAGATCCTCACAAGGTCATAATCTTTGTATATATATGAAATTTAAATGATGGTTTGTGTGTGTATGTTTCCTAATAGTTCAAGAAATGAAACACCAGTTTTTGAGAACTTGGCTATGCCTTGAAACCAGGCTCATTCAGTCTCGTTATTAGACAACCTGGGTTTGAACCCCAGCAGGAGAGAAGGATTTTTCTTCTAGTCCCCTTGTCTAGGCTGGATCTGGGACTGTGATTTAAGATTTTTGTAGTTTTCCTTAGCCTGCCTAATCAAATTCAATGACAGCCTCCTTCATGAAAATCTATCCAATTCATTTGACCTCAGCATCATGAAAATCACTAAATCATTCAATTAAAGTCTTAGCTTTGCAGGAGGTCATTGTCTGCATATTGACTCTTATGTGACATTTATGGCATAATATTGCTTCAGGAGTTGATACAGTTAGTAAAAGGAGATTATTCAGATGATTGGAGACTGCCAAATCCATCAACTAAATTTGAGGAGCTTCTGGCAAGAGTATATCGCAAAGATCACAAAAAGAGAAGTGTTGGAAAGATTCTCTTCTCACTGGGTGATGGAGTCAAGTTTGGTGTTGCTGTTTACAACCTTGTCAGGTATGCTGCAGTTGTCATGTTGGCTTGTAACCTTTGTTCTTGTGTATTACTTGTATGAAATGCATAAAATCTATATCTGTGTAATAAATAATATTGGTTGGTGATCATATGCTGCTGTTATGGGATATTGGGCCTTATGTGATAAATTTATGATGTGTGGATTTTTATTACCTTTGCCTTTGTCATTTTCCAGTGAGGGATTTTGTGCTGATTATTTATGGTAGTTGGGGGAAGCAGGAACCTGGATAATCAAAAAGCACGGTTAATATAAATAATATTTTGTTAGAACTATAATCCTTATAAGCAAAAATAGGAACTTGCACATTTTTGTACGTAGAAACATACATATTTACAGTGCAAAACATATATAAAAAAGACTAAGCATTTTTTCATAAAATTGTTTTATCATGAAGTAATTTTTGTTTGATTTTTCTGTAAGCATGGGGGGGGGGGGTCGGGGGTATACCCATGAAGTTTTGAAAGGTTGGCATAATCAACGTCTGGATTTTCCATGTAGTAAGTCATGTTTCAGCAGCTGTTAGGGCTTGATTGTGGTTAGTATAAGACAGTGGTTAAGAAATGTTTTTACATATTAGAGACATTCAGAGACCATGGATAACTGGGACCTGGATAATCAGCACTGTATTGTTTTATAACACTTACTATGTTGATGTTGTTAAAGAAGACCTACTGTGTACATGGCCACTTTCTTCTGTTTACAGGCCAGCATATGTTCCAAAAAAGGCACTATTAGACAGAACCACAAATGAAGTTGTGAAAACCACCACAAAGAAATTTCATGCTGTAAGTACACCTGGTGTTATAATTGCATGATCTAGTGTGATAAATATAATGCTTCAGTAAAGTAGGGTTGAATGTTTGATCAGAAAAAAAAAATATTGGACACTACATCTTGTAAATATTTGACTAAAAATTAAGAAATGTAAAAATATTTTTTGAAAGGCTCAGATCCATTGCTGACAAACTTTACAGGACCACTGCTTTGAGAAAACTGAATTTTTATTATATCTATAAAAAAGATAAACTTTTTTCTGTTTCTGATTATTCTTTTCTTTGCATCTGGGCATCATGCATCACCCAATGCTTTTTCTTCATTTTCCTCATTTTGTGAGTTTATCAAATAAAAAATGTCATCAGAATATTCAGCATGGAAATATATCTCTTGAAAGTGGCACTTTTGATGAATCCACATTAGATAAACTTCATATTGTACAGGATTAATGTGTGGAAAGAAAAATGCGGACAAACATCCATGGCTTGAGTGGGATTTGTACCCATGGTCCCAGCGACCAAGCGGTACAAGGCCCACGCTTCAGACTGCTCGGCCACTGCATACCCCTAATGAATATAAAGGGTTAGGCAAATTAAAGTCGTTTGTATTAGGCTAGTCGTCAAGTTTTAAAACTGTTTTTGCACATGGTTTAGCTAATATTTCATACATAGTAGAAATAAGTTAACTACAATAATTCATTATTTAAAATCATCTTATCTTTCGATGCTGTATAACTCATTTAATTGAAAGTGTGGTGTTAAATAACACAAGAACTAATCAGTTATTTTCCTCATTTTGTCCCATCTTTTTTCTT